AACAGGGTCTCTCTCTCTCTCTCTCTCTCTCTCTCTCTCCCTAGGGCACAGTTTCTCTCTCTCTCTCTCTCTCTCTCTCTCTCTCTCCCTACGGGAACGAGTTCTCTCTCTCTCTCTCATTCCTCCTCTCTCTCCCCCCCTTCATCCTCCCCCCCACCTCCCCAGGGAACAGGGTCTTTTCCAGTGTCGGCGTCTCTCACACACACTCTTTCTAAAGAATAGGTTCTCTCTGGGTGTATCTCTCACACAAAAACTCCCTAAGAAACAGGGTCTCTCTTTGGTGTCAGAGATGGTCCCTCACACACTCTCCATAGGGAACAGTCTCTCTGGGTGTCTCACAGACACTCCAGGGTACGGGTTCCTGTGTGCACCTGTTTCTCACATCCACTTGTTAAGGAACAGGTTCTCTCTGTGTTTCACAAAATGCTGTCTAAGGACAGTTTCTCTCTTGCAGTCTCTGTGGAACAGATTTGCTCTCTGTTGCATCCACCCTCAGGGAGCCAGACAATCTGTCTTTAGAATGGGACCTTGTGTTTCTATCAGAGAAAGGGGAAGTTTTGGGCCCAAGCTTTCCAGCCACTTGCACCCACTGATGTCAACGAACGGGATGATGGGGGCCCTGGGCCTGTCTTTTCTTGGGACTGAATGATTCACTCTTTCTAGAGACCAGGACCTCAGTCTTGTTCTGCCATGGAATGATCTCTTCAGAAGAGAAGGCCTCCTATTGTGGGCATAGGGAAGTGGGCTACAGTGCCCAGATATGACCTTTTTCCTCTTGAACAATTCTGATTACTGGATCAGGCTAAACTAGCTGTTTTGAAATCCCATAAGGAAATCCTGGTGCATGGGGAAGGGTGTGATTTGCTTGGGGGTCTCCATGTGCTGATTCTGACTAGGCTGTGAACCAATCACGCCGCATGTAAAATGATTGCTAATCTGGACATATTTCAGGCAGCCAGGTGTATTAATGATATTCTGCATGATGGTGTTGGTGGCAGCATATTAGGGATCCATATGCAATCCCTGCTGGAGGGTTAACTTATCTATCTCTTTGCACACACAACTGCCTAGTGCATAGTTGCTATAATGCCTCTTGCTGGGGATCATGTTCCACGCATGATGATTGCTTAGTTAAATGAGGGTGTTTTTCACATTGTACACTCTCTAGGATGCAACCATCTCTCCCTCTCTCTTGTATAAAATGATGCCGCCTGAGGCCCACCCTGGACCCCCTCTCATGGGATGATCTAGAGTTTTTCCTCTCTAGACTGGGGTGATCTCTCAGTCGCTCTCTCTAGAATAAAGGTGACATATTTTGCTCTCTCAAAAGTGGGGTCTCTCTCTCATTCAGTTGCTGTCCCTAGCAGCTTGAAATCTCTGTCTCTCTCCACTCTCTGGGGAGTGGGATATGTCCCTGGAGGTTGGGGGGCAGAGGGAGGTCTCTATCTTTCTTTGGCAAGGAATGATACCCCTCCCTGTCGGTGGTTAGTTTGTAGGGGGAGACCACAATCTTTCTCGTGAGGCTCTGGCCTGTCAGATCAATTCTTAATTAAACTGTGCTTTATTGCACAACCCCAGAAATCAATATTAAATCTGTGCAGGGGGAGGGGCCAGGGAGAGCCGGCTGCCAGTGCCTAGGTAATCCTTTAAGAAGGAAGTCAGGAACTCCTTTCTCTTCCACTTCCCATTGCCCCCTCTGCTTGAGTTCAGCCCAGACCCACATTCCCCCTAGCCCAGCTGGCTCCTAGGAAGGCAGGCATGGCCTCACCTCCAAGGGAGCATGGAGGGCAAGGAAGGTGACAAGTTAAGATGCATCTTCCTATATGTTATACACAATGGTGAGAGATGCCATTTTCTCTCCTTTTCTCCAGCCTCCCATATGGGGATCAAAGCTCCCCCTTGTGTCTGGGACCATGTCTCCCTGAACTGCCTGGTGCTCACAGATCTCACATCAGACCCTGGTGACTTTGGCTAATTGCGAGCCTGGTTTCCCCAGGATCAACAGCCTGAATCCTTCAGCTGCTTCCCAGCTGGAGGGAGGGTGGGGGAAAGGAGGGGCTTTCCATTAATCTGCTGTGGAGCCCGAGCGACAAGCTTAACCAAGTGGAAGAGCTGAGTGGTACCATGACTCAAATCAGGGGAAACCGCAGGCCCACTCCCAGCCCCTGTGATCAAAGATGCAAGACACACAAAGAAAGGAGAGTGGCAGGTGTGTGTGTGTGTGTGTGTGTGCATGCGCACATACTCACACAACATACATGGAGCTGGCTTGCCTGACCCTTCTCTCCTGAAATCCCTCAATGGAACGCAGATTCCCTTCTCAGTCATTCAGGTTTTTCAGTAAAGAACCAGCTGGAAAACAAAGTAGACTTTCCCCCCATTTCTTGCTGCTCCAGCTCTGTCCCCAGTCTGTATGGGACCCGAGCGACATCCCCCTCCACACACACACTGACCATGATTTGCCTCCATCAGTCATTGCTGTCCCTGGAGTTCATGTCCTTTCCCGCCCCCTCCTGGGCAGCGCCTTCATTTCCGGGGTAAATCCCCTCCTCCCCGGGCCAGCAGAGTGTATGGGAGGGGGATAAAACTCTCCATCACTGGCAGGCCTTTTTTAGAAGGGAAAGGGGGTGGTGGTGGTAAATCACTCTGGCAGACAGTGGGAAAGAGAGAACAAAGTCTTTCATCCCTGGCTGATCCAGTCCCAGGATCCCTTTGCCCTTAGCCCAAGGATCTCCTCTGCACACACACACACCCCTGCCCAGGGACATAGCTGCCTCTCTCTTCTCTCCTACTTGACTATATTTCCCTTTCTCCAGGGGCCATGGCAGAGACATCCACATCTATCCCCCTGCCTCCTTCTGCTGTTTCTCTCTGCCCATTAACCACCGAACCATCAGCCTTTAGCCTTTCATCCACCTCGTAAAGAGGCCATCTCCCTAAAAGTGTCACCCAACATAAAACCCTCCAAAGCAGCAGCACTTCTCCTTCCCCAACCCTTCTGCACATCATGTGACCAGGACACCTGACACAAGGAGCAAAGCAATGGAAAAAAAAATCAAGCCTCTTCTCTTTAATATAACCCCCCCCAGGGCCGGTGCAAGGAAATTTCGCGCCATAGGCAAAACTTCCACCTTGCGCCCTACCCCCAGCCCTGTGGCAGCTCTCCGCCCTGAGGTGCTCCCCCCCCGTGGCAAATTCCCACTCCCCCGGCCCGGGGAGCCGTGCGGCAGCTCCCCACCCCAGCTCACCTCTGCTCCGCCTCCTCCCCAAGCACGCCGCCCCTGCTCTAATTCTCCTCCCCTCCCAGGCTTGCAGCGCTAAACAGCTGATTGGTGCTGCAAGCCTGGGAGGCGGGAGAAGTGGAGCGGCGACCGCGCGCTCGAGGAGGGGGCGTAGGAACGC